TTCCTTTTCTCCCCAAATCCATTTTTCCCAGAACCATTTGTTAAAGAGGCAATCTTTTATCCAATGTATATTTTTAGCTCTTTTGTCCAGGATCAGATAGTTGTAGCCATGTTAGTTTGTTTCTGTGTTCTTTGTTCTGTTCCACTGTTTGACATGATTATTTTTATGACAGTGCTATGTTGGTTTTCTTATTATGGCTCTGTAGTATAACTTGAAATCAGGTATTATGATGTCTCCAGCCTTGCTCATTTTGCTTAGGCTTGCTTTTGCTAGTCTGAATCTTTTGTGTTTCCATATAAATTTTCAAAATTTTTTTCCAGTTCTGTGAAAATTGTCATTGATATTTTGATAGCAATTTCATTGAATCTGTAGATTATATTGTTAATGTTGCCATTTTGATAATATTAATTCCACCAATTCATGAACATGGGAGAATTTTCCATCTTCTGGTGTCTTCAATTATTTTCTCCAGTGTTATGAAATTTTCATTGTAGATGTCTTTGACCTGCTTGGTTAAATTGATCCCTAGGTATTTACTATCTGTTTTTTTTTTCAGTATTCTGGCCTTCTGAGCTCCGACTAGAATCTTCCATCAATTTGACTTATAGCATTCTAGGACTGCTCTAGTAGACATTTCCCAATCATTCCAAACTTTTCCCATGAATCAATTCTAACAGCTTCTAAACCACATGGTGAAGTGTATAGTCTTAGCCACACCCCCACTTCTGGTACCAATTTCTTAGTCACTTTCCTTGTCACTAGACAAAATACCCACTATTCACAACTTAAAGGAGTAGAGGTTTTTAGAATACTCAGCCCATATTTAGCTGGCTCCAAGACACGAAAAGCATGGTAGAAGGGTCTGGTGGAAGAAAGTTTTTCATGTCATAGTGGTGGGAAAGCAGGAGGAGAAGAAGAGCCAGGGATAAAGATATACCTTTCCACACCATAGTGACCCATCTCCAACTATGCCCCACCTCCTAACAGCAAGTTAGCTGTAGTGTCCCTATGGTCACATCACCTTCCAAATATATGAAGCTTTTGGTAGATATTCCCCAAAACCCTCTATATTGAGTAATGTGTATTTTATGAAATTGAGTGTACTGTGTTAAGTGACTATATACTTTTCATTGTTACAGCTTCTTAGTTGATTGCTCCCTTTACCAATATGTAGTGGCCTTCTTTGTTTCATCTGACTAATTTTGTCTTGTAGTCTGCTTTATCAGATATGTGGATAACTACTCCTGCTTACTTTCGGGTTTCATTTGCATGGAATATTGTCTTCCATCTTCTCACTTGCAGTCTGTATATGCTTTTGCTGGTGAAGTATGTTTCCTGAAAGCAGCAAAGAGTTCCATCTTGGTTTTTATCCAGTCTGCCAATCTGTCTCTTTATTTGGAGAATTATGACCACTTATATTTATCGTTAGAAAAAGGTATGTAATAGTTCTTATCATTTTGGTTTTATTCTTTTCTAATTCTCAATAATTCATCTATTCTTCATCTTCATCTTCAGTCTGTAGGATTCCTTTATCTTCTGTATTGTTGGCTTAGTGGTCATGAATTTCTTTAATTTATGATTATCTTGGAAGGTCTTTCCTTTAATTTTGAAGGACAGATTTGCTGCTTTATTGACAATAGATTTTGAAGGGAGAGAGCAAGAAAGAAATAGGGAGATATGTTAGGAGGCTATTACCATAATTATGGTAAGAGACAATGGTGGCTTTGATGAGGAAAATGGCAAAGAGATGGTGAGAAGTGACAGAGATCTGAATAAATCTTGAAAGTAAAGCCAAAATAATTTGCCAACAGATCAAATATGATACAAGAGAAAAAGGAGCCAAGGACAATCTCAAATTCTTTGATAATAGAATTGATAATCATTGAAACAGAAGACCATGCTAGGTTAAGGGAAGAGATCAAGAGCTTTCTTTTGACCATATGAGTTTTACTTATTAGATATCCAGGTGGACATGTCAAGAATAAAATTGGATGCAACTGTTTTAACTTGGGGCAGAATTCTAGTAAGTTGTCAATGTCTACATGATATTTGGACCCATACAATTAGATTGCAAGTACTAAGAAAGTAAGTGTAGAGAATTCCACAACTAAGTTTCATGTATTTAGAGATTGGAGAAATGCAAAACTGTGACCAAAAGAGATGGAGAGGGTTGAGGGACTACCTCAGTGGGACAGTACATGTTCAAGGCTTTGAATTTGATGAGAGAGAGGGAGAGGGAGAAGGAGAGGGAGGATAAGGAGGAGGAGGAAAAGAAGGAAGAGAGGAAGAGAATGGGAGGGAAGGAGAAGGAGAGTTGGGGGGAGGAGGAGTGTAACAGTGAAGTAGAATAAAAAACACCATACCAAAAGAAAAAAAGAAAGACCAGGAGATTGAATACAGTGTTTCTAGAAGGAAAAACTGTGACATATTCCTAGTAGGCCGAGTAAAATGACAAGTGGATTTTACTGGGAGACATTGGTAACCTTGGTAAATGGAATTTTGGTGAAGCACTAACAACAAAAGCCTGATTGAAGTGGGTTGAAGAATAAATGAGAATGACATCAGCAAGAATGGTAAGGACCTTTAAAAACTTGCTCCTGCACACAACTTGTTCCTAAGCAATTAGAAAATGGCAAAAGCATTGTCAAAATCAACTTTTTCAGAGCTCTGGAAATTAACCAAAGGCTTGTAAACTGCCTGCCTGAGCACCAAGGGCATGCCTCAACACAAACAAAAGGACTCTAGGCAAAGGCCAAGGACATGATATTTGCTCCAGACATTTGGGGAAACTTGTTCATTCTTTAATTAAGCAGAGTTTTCAGGGGCCATATGTGATAGAGAACAGAAGCTTTACAAAATTAGTCCAGGAAAATCACTTGAAAGTGTTAATGAGGGGCTGGGGATTTAGCTCAGTGGCAAAAGCGCCTGCCTGGCAAGCGCAAGGTCATGAGTTCGGTTCCCGGTACTGGAGAAAAACAAAACAACAAAAAAAAAGTGTTAATGGATGAGCTAGTAACCACTGCCCCCAAGCTGTTTCTCTCTTCCCTATAGGCTGAGACCCATTAGTTCAAAAGCCCCAGGCATCAAGCTCAAATTTTCACATATCCAATTATTTGAAGACAACCCCCACAAGCGCAAATGTTTAATCACTTAGAATCTGTCTGAGTGCACATCATGCTAAACCTCACCTAATAACTTTTATCCTCTGATAAGATGGAGCCTTAGGATTGTACAGTCCCGGCTGCTACAATCTTTTGCAGTTGTCTGATCTGGAGGCTGTTTGTTATTATGCTAAGTGAAATCACCATCCTTTTTGAAGAGTTAACTTGAAAGTTAACAAAATGTGTACCAACAAAATGTAGATAAAACATAGGAAAAACTATGTTATAAAGGAACTAACAGTGAATATCTGAACCATTTAAATAGTCAAATCTAAGTGGTAAATAAAACTGTGAATCAACTATATAAAATTTTTTAAAGAAAAATATTTTTTAAAAATTTGTAATATAAATACAGGTCTAAAACGGCAGAAAATATTAATAGCTAAATATTATACTGTGTGTCAAATATGAAGTCTTATTTATATATTTCTTAAAAGATGTGTATTAGCCAAAATTGGAGGCCTATTAGGGAATGGATTCACATATAAATATTAAAAAAAAAACCCTGACTACAGTATTAGCAAGTCAAAGCCAAGCACATATTTAAGAATGGTTTAACTGGGTACTGTTTTTTTGTTTGTTTTGTTGTTTTAGTTTTTTGAGATAGGGTCTTACTTTGTAGTCCAGGCTGTCCTTGAATTCACTATGTAATCCAGGTTGGCCTTAAACTCATGGTGATCCTCCTGCCTCAGCCTTCCAAGTGCTGGGTTTATAGGCATATACCATGATGCCCAACTTGGGTATTGTTTAAGATTATAAGAATGGTATAACATTTGGAAATTGAGCAATGGTATTCTTCACATGAACAGATTAAAGGAGAAAATAATATGATTCTGTTCAAAGAAATGTGACAAAATTAATTACCTATACAGAAAAAAAATTATTAGGAATCTAGGAAACTCAATCTATTGTGAGGAACATAAGGAGCACTCTATGGCTGATGTGGTATAATGTAGTAATGTTCTATATCTTGATAAGAATTTGAATTATATAGGTATCACATCAAAACTGAGGGAATATACCCTTAATATTTTTGCAATGCATTTTATATAAACTTTACTTAAAAAGAAATTGTTGGTTTTGAACTTGAGTTTAAAATATGAATGCTGTTGTATTTAGAAGAAAGCATACTGATGCATCCAATGTTTGATGTGTATGAAAAAGGTATGATAGATTAATAAATGGCTGGGGGGTGGTAAATCATTAGAAAACTGATGAAGTAAACACAGTACAGTCTTAATGCAGAATCTAGGTGGTGATATATAGTTTTCAATATAAAATTCAACTTTACCCTAGAGTTAATTTTTTTTTAAATAATGTGTTTGGAATATCATGTTTTCAAAAACATTCCCTCAACTTCCTTGACAGACTTTCAAAAAAAATTTTGCCCTTTGCTTTTTTATTATTTGTTTATTTGTTTATTTTTGACAGACTTTTAATAGGATGTTGCATATATAATGTCCCTATTTCTGGAACTATTCAGGTTACTATAGTCTTATCTAAGTACTTCTCAGAAAAAATAAATACCTCTATAGGTATAAGTTCATCTCATTTTTCCAAGTATTAAAGCCCATTTATCACCCCAAAATTTACACTTCCAGGCCATTTCTAAAACCCTACAGGCAAATGAAAACTGACTTCAAGTAAAGCCTGCCTACTGATATGGAGATGCTTAGGAAGAGGACCCCCATTTTAGAATTTCAGGAATTTCAGACACCTCCCTTCTCCTTTGCATTGACTTCCCCTACATACTTTCCTAACTCCAGGGGTACCTGAAAATTTTCAATTCGAGGTTTATTTAATTCTGTTAAATTTAATTCTGATTCTTTTAAAATGCAGCACCACTGGAAGTCAATAGTAATGCTCAACTCAGTGAGAAGATATTTATCAGATTCCCTTATGAATAAGGTTGTGGTTGAAGCACTTGGAGCCTCTTCAGAAAATCAGGAAAGCAACGAGGAAGAGAAAAGATTTCCCAAAAGGTAGATTGGGAATATGGACACCTTTGGATTATATCATCTTCTCCAGCTGACCTTGATCTTAAGCATTAAAATGTTCTCTGTCCCTATCATGATCTCTTTATCTTATAAAGTATTCTAATCAAAAGCCACATCAAATTTGTGTGTGCCCAACTTTCCCCTATCTTGACCAAACACAGGAAATGAATCACTTTGGAATTGTGCAATCCCGTCGCAGCTCTTGGCTGTTTGTGCTCCGTATGACTTCAAGAGAAACCTCGCTCTTGTCATTCCTCTTGAATGTGTACAGCCAGATATTTTTAGAGGCGTGGGGACTTTGATTTTGAAATCTATTTTGAAACAAGGAGAGACTAGTAATACTACATTTGTTTTACGTATTTTGTTCTCATAGTGAGATACATTGGACCAGATTTTTAACTAGGAAAATATAGAAGATGCTACGTTTCCTCGTTCTCTTTCTCTTTTCTCTCATAAAAACCATGTGTGGCCAAGTAACCCTTTTTTATCACAGGATGAAAAACTCTGAAGTCCAGGAGAAAACTGTACGGTATTTTCCCGAATCATTCAGCAAGATATGGGCAAAGCCCAGAACTAGACTTGTATTTAAGATATCCTGTTTTATTCTTGTTTACTGAGTGCTACTAACCATGGAGACCCACTATACTTTCTATTTCTGAGGCTGTTTTAAAAGCGACCAAAGTAAGCAAGTATATCATCTTTGCTAAGAGGTGATGTGATGTTCTCTCTAACTATACTTATCATTGAATTCAAGTACAGGGTCTTTATAAAGTCTGTACCATTTTTAAACTTAACTTCAAAAGCATACAAGGTAGACATGACAGTAAACTGTAAATGGAATTTAAAGGCAAATTCAATTTTCTTCTTAGAGCTGTCATGAACTTCAATTCTGCTGGCCATATTTCATTTGTCACAGGATCTGAAATGAGTATATATTGTGTGCAGTTGTGTAATGTAGTTGTCCTAAACTTTAATACATTTACTTTTGAGTGCCGTTTAGATTGTTTCTCTAACACGCACAACCTGAGTTATTAAAGTTTAAAAGTGCAGAAGGCCCTTATAAAGACTGTTTATGGCTCAAGTACAGAGCACAGGAATTCTGGTTAAATTACGTTCTTTTGCTGTCAGATCTGCTCTCTTTCATTTTAGATAGGCCACAAATCAAGAGAACTGCATGTTGCTTTTCACTGAAAAGGGAGAAATTCTTAGACTTCAGTATGTAGTCAATAACTGGTGCTAAAAGGTATGGTGACTTTTTGTAAGAAGCTTCCTATTTAAACATCATAGATAATGACAATATCTAAGTGGGGTGACAAAAGGCATAGGAGAAGAGAAAGAAAATGAATCAGGCTGACCACCCTAGGTATGCATGTCACTCAGCAGCTACCAGTTGAGAGTCTCTTATTTTTGTAAGGTCTATGTAAGTGAACGTCATGTTTCCTGAACACTTTTAGTTCACCAAGATACCGTCCTTTGCCAAATTCATAAAGCATCTTTAGAGGAGTCAGTATCTTTAGAGCAAGTCAGCATCACCTCAGAGATCATCTGGCCTTTTCATGGCAAGAGTTGAACCAAGAACTCTGGACTGTGCTGAGTTCTGGGATAGCGGTGGCCAAATTTTTGTCTGAAGAGAAAACCAGATCTAAGGATTGGGGAAGAGAGATTCAAAGATACCTGAAGTTTTCACCTGGATAGCTTAGAAACTATGGGGAGTCCACCTTGAAGAAAAGGGAATGAGCTTCATTTTATACAGGTTGAGTTTAAACTGATAGTAAAACGTCACATCTATTTCACCTGTATAGATCAAGATTCTTGGAATGATAAAGGCTAGAAACTTTGTGAAAAGAGATGGAATCTCATACAATGATAGATGAAGTAAGTTTTGATGTTGGTGATGATGAAATTTTGGAGCTTGATTCAGTGTTTCCAGTGATGAGGAGCCTTGCTTGACAAATGAAAGTCTGTGAAAGTAATGGAAAAGGCATATCTGATGGTTTTGCTTCCTCAGGAGCAACAGTGGCCTTTTTGTTTGGAGCAAATCTTTATTTGTCAGCCCCATTCTAGAGGTTAAGTCAAAGGTCAGTAAACTATAGCCTGTGGCCCATCCTGGTTCACCAACGTTTATCATATACCCTGTTAGCTAAGAATGTTTCTTTCATTTTCAAATGGCTAAAAAAAAATCCCAACAATAAGATTCTGTAACATGTGAAAATCATATGAAATTGAAATTTCAGTAAGTTTCATTGGAACACAGCCACATTCATTCATTCATACATTGTCTATGATTTCTTCACACTATGACATCAGGATTGAATAGTTGTAACCGAGACCATATAGCCCAGAAAACCCAAAATATTTATTATGTAGTGCAGAAAAATTTTACTGACACTGTCTTAGGTCTTTAAGAGTTTAGGCAACTGAAGACAGGTTCTGATCCTTAGCATCCATCCATCTATCCATCCATCTGTCCATCCATCCATCCATCCATCCATCTATCCATGCAATAAGAGGGGCTGAGGATTTAGCTCAGTGGCACAGCACCTGCCTGGCAAGCACAAGGTCGTGAGTTCGATTCCCAGTACTGCAAAAAAGCCAAAAAACCCCTAAAAAACAAAAAACAAAAACAGGTCATGTAATAAGCCAACCAGGCATCTAATCCTTATCATGTATGTTCTGTGTAAAGTTCTAACATGTCCCAAGACCTACTCTTTGCCCTCAATGCCAGTCTTATATAACTATGTCATCTCCTATAGAAAGAATTTAGCACTAAATTATAGTATTAAGGTATGCTAACTGAAGTGTTGATATTCTTAAATTTGTTTTCATCAGAGCTGCTTTATTCAGGGTTAAGCCTTCTCTGGGACTGAAAGAAGAAATGGTGTTTGGAGTAAGAGTAGGCCTGAAACTACAGCTATAAATCCAGGGCCCTTATTAAGTGGAGGAAGAGGACTGCTGAATTTGGGAACCAGGATGAACTTGACCAGCTGCACTTTTGCCTGGCTGACTAGGGCTGTTTATCTTGCTAGGCCAGGGCCATATTATGGTCTTCATGAGCCTCAGATACTTTCACCTTTGTGGGCATCTTCCTCCACTTAAAAAAAATCACAAAAATTAAAAATGTTATGACTACATTGGTATAAATACAAATACAAACCAGCATGGGCTCATTAGTATGTTATTTTCCCTACTTTTTAAAGAAATTAAAATTAACAATTTTGTGACCCCTAAAAGTATTGTGGACCCCAGGCACTGTACTTACTGTGCTCACTAGCTAACTCAGCTGATAAAGAGGAGCTTAAAATACAGTCTTATGTTGGAGAAGAACCCCTTACCCAACACTGGCCTGCCAGCCAGGTGACAGATCAGCAAAACGTATCCAAAATTTGTGAACTCCACATAAACATCTCCCACGAAGCTTTAATTTGAAGGGAGTTTCAGACCTGTGAACTGCATTAATATTTCCTGTTTTAGCCTAGGTATCACATTGACTGGGTTCTTCAATAGCTATTTTGACATTAGAATTTTTTTCACCTCTAAAAGAAATCTTTATTTGGTAATAGAAGTCATTGATGGAATTTGTACTGAATTTCTCACTGATAAAGATGATTCTAGGCATAGCATGTTTCTGCAGTTTTGGATTCATTACTACTAGGGCAGCACTGAGATATACTTTTGATCTATGACTTCCTAATAGTTTCGCATATGAAAGACAACTTGGTTCTGCACTGAGTATTACTCATGTAAACCATGCCCTTGTCTAGGCAGGACAAAGGGACAGGGGGCTACCCTGGTATGTCTGGAAAGCAAGTCTTTCTGGGGCTTGGGGGAAGGAATAGCTGTTACATAAGCCAATCAGAAATGCTGTCCACAGGTAAGAAGACGGCTGTTCTCTTTTTTGGAGACATATCACAGGCTGATTTTTTTTCATTATAATTTCTTAAGTCTTATAGTTAATTTAAAAAAAAATCTTCTAAAATGCTAGGAATGAGTTATTCATCTTACCAGTGTGAATTTTTCTTTTCTCTGTCCTTAGGGAAGTTAGGAGTTGGATACATCAGAGTGTGCTGTGTAGAAGACAGTTGAAATGGAATTGCTTGAGTTCTTGAACACATTCCTTTATCTCATACGGCATGTGAAATAAGAAAGTATACATATGAATATGAATATGAAATTTTTCTGTGAATTTTTGATATGTTATATATTTTTTCTGGTATGAATACCTTATTTTAACAAAAATGAATACAAACAGACTTTACATTCTGAAAGTCTCAAACTTTCACTTTTTTAAAGAAGAGAGAGACAAGCACATTAGACTCAATTTCAGGCATGGAAAAACTAATACCAGATTTTTTTTTTTTGGTTCCAGGGATCTAACTCAGGACCTTGCTCTTGGCAGGCAGGCACTTGTGCCGCTGAGCTATATCCTGGGCCCTAATACGAGATTTTTAAGTTATATAAACTAGCTGTATTTTTAATACCATAAAAATAGTGACATTCACTAGTTTCAAGTGTACCTGTAAGAAGCACATGGACATATATTTGTGTAAAACCACAGTCTCATGTCAATACACATCTATGTGTTCGACACATATTTTCATTAATGTTTGGCATAACTCTATGAATGTCAAACTGCACAAATTGCTTTTATGATTGTGTTTGGGAAATTGAAACATACAAACAATGTAGATTAAGCAGCTGAAAAAGCTGCAGTTACCGCCTACAAGCACATCATAACAAGGCGTGGAGAACCACAGTTCTCCAGGAATGACTTTGAAATATTTAAGGGGTTATTTTACCAGAAAAGTTGTGAAAAATGACACAGTCTCTAAAGATTCAGAAAATTATAGATTTTGCACAATTACCAAAATACGTGTTTAGAGATTAGTACAACAGAACCTTTAGATGATTCTGAAGTGATGTAAACTTTTTATAGAGCTTGACACGATCTAGTCCAATGGTAAAAGAGAATTTCAGAAATAAAAGACACACTACTGACAACATATGTTGGGAGCCCATGAGTTTCTTTCATTCCATCTTATGAATATGATCACCTCAACTCCCACCTTTCTCTGATATGAAAATTGCCTTAAATTTTGTCATATGTCCTTATCTATAACATGAGAATTGTTTAATATAGCACTTGCCCTGCTGAATGTTATTTGAATTTATTTGTTAATGTACCTAAAAGTTTGCTTAGGAAGAAAATGCTAGGCATTAATGCTTGTTCTATTCTGATAAAATTTTGACATTCTGTGTATAATTAAACCTTAGGTGATGATGTTGTTAGCTAAATGGCCCTTCTCTCCAGTAGAATAATCTAGACAATAAAAATTAAATAAATGTCACTTAGAAATGAGCTAAATTTAGTCATAGAGTCTAGCTGACCTGCCAGTTTTGAACACTGAAGCAGTAAGATTTTGTGACATGTTATACTACCGTTGGTATATTTTTCAATTCACTCTGGGTTACTTCTCCTTACGGTTTCACATTATTTCATACAGGTAAGCCATTGCTGAGTGAATCAATTATTTTTCATCATATGTGGTGCTAGACTTTTCCACTAAAATCTTCCTCTCTAATCAATATAGATCCTTTATGGTGCTTATCATTATATTCTGCAGTGAAATATTCTATAGAAGTTTCTTGTGAGCAACCTATCTCTAATTACAGGAATAGAAGCTACTGCCTTTATTTTGTTTGGAAATTCTAGTGAAAAATGTTATTAACATAATAAATATTATATAAACATATATGTTTATGTAAATATATATAAACAAAAGCATACATAAAGATATCATGTGATAGCTTTTCCAAAACATTTTTCTCATCTGTTAGTTTATTTGGATTCACTAGGGTATTATCATTACCACAAAAAAACCTGCATTATATATTTACCTAATTTTTTCCTTCACAAGTGGAAAAGGAAATGCCACAACAATTCCTGATTTTTAAGGTTTTTAGAAAAACATGAAATTAATATTTTCTTAATATCATTTTCACTTTTGTCCATGCTTAAAATTCCTAGATAGGAACATTAGGAGAATGCAGGCCAGAGAAGTTAAAGAGTACATCTAGATTTATAAGCTACTTGGTGAAAGTACAGGACCAGAATTGGGAAAAACCATTCTATGTTGGTAGAAGTAACCTGAGGTAGATATTCTTCAGTGACAAATCTTCGAGAGCTGAACAATCTTTTACGAACCCTTTCAAGAATGGGAAGTCATCCTTCCAGCAACCATGGAGCACTTCCTAAGCCAAGCACAGTCTCTTTTTCAAAAGGACCAAGGCTTGTTCCCTATTCTCAAGTGGCTTTGTGACTTGTAGGTGCTACACACACTTACATAAGTCCCTGAAAAATCAATGGAGATTGCCCACTGGGGAATCAGATCAAGCCATATTCTACTGTGCGTTTAGCTGGGAGACTGCAGGGACAAGGCAAAGAGAGGTGAAAGCCGAAGTTAAGAAGGAGAGAGGAAATCTTTATAGAAGAGTGAATAATAGCAATACACAAAAATAAAAACAAGACACCAATAACTTTACATAAAACTACTAGCACTTATTTCATTATATGATAGTTATTTGCCTATGATTATCAATAAACTCTGAACCATAAGTCATTCTGAGGCCAGAGACTGCTAGTTGAACACTAAAATTCATTCATCCTCTCCTTTTGTTTTAGCACCAAACTCCTGACTTTATGGCTGAATGAATGAACCAGTTAAATTTTATATCTTCCAGACTTTTTTGCAGCTAGGAACACAATTAAGTTCTGACAAATAAGATGTGAGCAGGATAGTTGAATGAGAATTCTGGGAAGACTCCTTAAGGGAAAGAGATATATGCCTTGTTGGTTTTACTTCCATCTTTCATCTACTGCCTGGGATAAGATGTAGCAGCCAGTGTGTCAGCAACAAGCTTGGACTATGAGATGACCTTCAGAGTAGAAATCAAACTGGGAAGGAAGGAAGGACTTCTAGGATACCGATGACTTTTTCACACTTCCATTTCTTGCACCTAACTTTTGATCTTATTTTACACAAACAAATAAAACTGAGTGAGTTGAAGTCCTGGAATTAAGTTTCTGTTAATAGCAGCTGAAACAAATCCTAAGCAATACATGTCACATCCCTGTATTCCCATCAGAAAGCATGGTGTTGAAACTGGTAATTGCTTAAAATATGTGCAGTTTAAATTTTATTTAATTATTTCTACTTACCTTATTCCAAAAAGAATTTAAGATGGGTGCTAGGTAAATCTGCAACCTAAAAATTTGAAAATATACCAGTGTACCAAAGAAGAGCACAAAGGCCAAGCCAGAAAAACAAATATAACAATATAACAGTCCTCAAGACTTAAAGATCATAGAAATTACACAGAAACATATAAAGGCAAATATCACTCTTTTATTAAGAAAGAAAACCTGGCAACATAATTTGAAATATATCTTTTTTTTTTTTTTTTTTGGTTTTTCTCCGGTACCAGGAATCAAACTCAAGACTTTGCGCTTGCCAGGCAGGCGCTTTTGCTGCTGAGCTAAATCCCCAGCCCTGAAATATATCTTATAATATGGATAATGAAATTAAGAACTGCAAGTAAATAATTGGCTCTAAGTATGAGTTGGTAATACATTAAAGGACAAAAATTATATTCCAAGTGATAGTTGAGAATTGGTCTATATCAAAGCAGAGGAAAACACAACTAGTAGGTCATATTTGAAGCAGTACAATGAACGATCAAAATTATGACAAAAAGGGCTGGGAATATAGCTCAGCAGACTCGTGCCTGCCTGGCAAGTGTGAGGTCCTGAGTTCAATTCCTAGTACCAAAAAAAGCAAAATTATGACAAAATTAAGCTAAACTGGAGAATCATGTGTTAAATAAGTGCTAGGACCTATGTTTTATTTAATTATCGCTGACTTAGTAATTCTTCTGTACCAGACGTTGTTGTAAACACTTCACAAAAATCAACTCAATAAAGCCAGACAACCTTATGAGGCAGTTACTGTATTATGCCTATTTTTCAGGTGAGGAAACTGAAGCCCATTTCTACTTGCCCAAGATCAGACAATAAATAGAAGGCAAGATTTTACCTAAATATCAAGGATGGATGAAAAGTGTTAGGCATTATGTCAGGCTTTCTAAAGTGTAATAAAGTATAAAACATACTGGCCAACCTGCCTCTCGGCTCCCCAAGTTTACTTCACATTTTGAAATTGTGGAAAAAAGCACCAAAAGCGGCCCAGAATATGATTAAAAATAAAAGCCATGGAATGAAAATTGGATCCCTAAAAAAAGCCAGAGTTGCTGCCTGCATTAAATTTAGAGAAGATCCTAATAAGTTTCACCCTCCAATGAATGTGATCAGATGAAAAAACTGAACTGCTCAATTGTGATAGCTATAAAGGAAGGAATGTTGGAATTTCTGATCCCAATAGTCCTTAAAACAAAAATAGAAAATGTAAAATATAAATTCTGAAGATTTAAAAAGCCATTGGTATCACTTCTGTATACATCCTTCTGAATTAATTTTATGATTCACACAAATTTATAGAAATTCTAAATGCCTTTTCTGTCCTTCTCTTCTGTGTCTTCCTGGGAACACTTCCTTGTAGTGGAAAAATTGTACTCTAATTTCATTCTCTCTTGAAGTTCTAACTCTGACTTTGCCCTTTCTCAGTGCAATTGACTAGGGGGAGCTTCAGAATTTGTAGCCATCCTATATACTACTGTTCAAAGTATTTCCCCACGGTATTTACAATTGTTTGTTCATCAGCACATAACCCTCAAAAGGGCTATGAACTTCCCAGGGCAGGAACTACACGGCACAGTGATTGGCACATGCTTGGCACTGAAAAAATTTTATTGAATGAAAAAAAGCGAAGGACCAACTGGTGAGCTGTGTACACTATTCTTGTAGGGACTGGTTTAAGCCAGAGAGGGCAATGCAGCTTTGCTTCTTGAAATTGGACCACGATGATGTGAAGACACAGCTTCTGCTATAGAAGAAAAACATCAGAAGTAGAAGCCAAAACAAAGTGCCAAAAAGAAGTCAGATGGGGCGTTACTAATTATTTTCCATTAGAGAAGTCACCTGCTGACCTATTGGTGATTCCTTGACCTTTGTCCTCTGAAAGGCAAAGAAAACATCCCCAGCACAGTACTCAAAACAATAGGAAGGCAAAAAAAGTGCGAAATTTGACCTTGCTCTTCAGAGTTTCCTTGAGAATTTTTAGTAGTTTTCTTGTGCAGCTTTACGACTTTGACTGTGACATCTGTATACCCCAAGGTCAGGTCAGCTTTGCGTATAGCTTATGAGCGAAACCCTTCAAATCATCCTAGAGCCCACGCTTTAACTGGTCTCAAGAACATGCACCCAAACCTGCATATGCTTTTCTTTTGTTTTTTTTTCTTTTGCTTTGCCGGAGATGGGGACTCCTTTTTAAACCCAAGGTTCAAAAGACAGTAGCTAGAATTTATGCTGAAGTGGAGTAACAGGCTTTGGATCTGAGCAGTGTCCTAATGCAGGTGAAAAGCATGTATTGATTACTTAAAGAAAGTTAAAATAAAAGCAATTTTTCTCCCCATTTTGGCACATTGCAGCTTTTGGCCTATCCACTCATAGCTAAAAAAGCATTCTTTCCTGATAATCAAGCTTCAGCTGTCTGAATTTCAGGCCGAGCCTCTCCTCCTGAGCTCTGCTGAAGAGCTGCTTTAATTAACCATTATACCACAGATGTTATTGATTTTTTTCAAATCTGGTTGAAACATCATTGTGCTGGATCATGGCCAAAACTAAGGCCTGAATTTGTGTGTGTGTGTGTGTGTGTGTGTGTGTGTGTGTGTGTGTGCTGCTTTACTCCTTCTGCATACCTTATTAGTCTCCATGTCTGTTAAGTGCAATCCTTAGTATTAACTCAGAAAATATAGAATTGATTTTTAGCTCAGCAGCCGTGATCTAAGGGCTCCTAATTTGAAATCTGAAAACCTCAGTTGCTGAGGAAGTCTTTCCACTGTTGCTCTACACTTCCTTCAAGTAAGCTTTTTATTCTTTAATTTAAAAAAGAAATCTCCCTCTGCTTCCTCTCTCTCTCTCTCTCTCTCTCTCTCTCTCTCTCTCTCTCTCTCACACACACACACACACACACACACACACACACACACTCTTTGGAGGTTTCATAGGAACATGACCCATTCTGTATTTTGAACATGTTTGTGGTGAAAGGCCCTCAGAACCTTGTTCTGTCTATTCTAAATGTTTGACCTACAAGATGGATTCCATGAAATTTTGGGATTGAAGTGTCTCAACATTTTCCATATTTTTGAGGGGAAATTGGGAAGAACTTGAGCAGCGCTCAC